CCAGAGGACCTGAGTAAGTTTCCCAGCACCCACACAGAGGGAGGGGACTCACAAATGTAACTCCAGCTCCAGATCCAACACCCTCTTCTGGCCTCTGAGGGCACTGCACTCATAAGCACATAATCACATACTCAAAAAAAAAAAAAAATCATTAACTGGGAAAAATTATATAAAGTAGTATAACAATGTATTGTTGGGTTTATATAATCAAAAAATATAGAATGGTAGTTGCCTGAAACTGTGTTCAGTGGGAAATGGGAGTTTGTGTTTAGTAATACAGCATTTCAGTTCAAGAGGGTGAAAATGTCCTGGAGATGGATAACAGTGGTGTGAATATGATGGGGGTTATTTTGGGTTTTTTTTTTTTTTTTTTTTTTTTTTTTTTGAGACAGAGTCTCCTTGTAGCCCCAGCTGTCCTGGAATTCACTATGTAGATCAGGCTAGCCTTGAACTCACAGAGATCCACCTGCCTCTGCCTCCCAAGTGCTGGGATCAAAGGTGTGCGCCACCATGCCTGGCTTATTTTTGGTCTTTTTGAGACAAGGTCTCCCTGTAGCCCCAACTGACTGGAACTGGCTGTGTAGCCCAGGCTGGCCTTGAGCTCACAGAGATCCGCCTACCTCTCTACCTCCTGAGTGCTGGGACTAAATGTATGCACCACCACACTGGGCTGTGAATGTGATTATTCTTAATGACACAAAACTACCACATCCTGCTTTTTTTTTTTTTTTTTTTTTAACGTGGGCTCTGGGGATTGAACTCGGGTCCTCATCCTTATGTAGTAAGCCCTTTACTGACTGACCTGTCTCCCCAGCCCCACGAACACTTTTCTGGCTCTTAGTTTCTTTTCCTGTTGTGATAAAAATACAATAACAAGGGCTGGAGAGATGGCTCAGCAGTTAAGCACACTGACTGCTCTTGCAGAGGACCCGGGTTCGATTCCCAGCACCCACATGGCGGCTATGAACTGTCCTTAACTCCAGTTCCAGGGGAATCCGACGCCCTCTTCTGACCTCTGCAGCATTGCACGACATGGGTGCACTCACACACATGCACGCAATACACTCATATACATAAAGTAAAAATAATAAAATATTTTTTTAAAAATACAATAACAAAAGTAATTTAAGGGAGAAAGGGTTTATTTTAGTTCACAGTTCAGATACAGTCAGTCCATCATGGCGGCTGGTCAGATTACGTCATCAGTCAGGAAGAGAGGAATGGATGATACATACTAGTGCTTAGCTTGCTTTCTTCACTCTTAAGATATTTCTATTATGTTTATTGTGTGTGTGACAGGGGGAAAGTGTGCACGTCATAACCTGCATTTTCAAGAATCAGTTCTCTGCGCCAGGCATGCTGGCACACACCTTTAATCCCAACATTCAAGAGGCAGAGGCAAGTGAATCTCCATAACTTCGAGGTCAGCCTGGTCTACACAGTGGGTTCCAGACCAACTGGGGCTACAGGGAGACCCTGTCTCAAAAAACAAACAAACAAAATGTTTTTTCTAAAAAAGAGTTCTCTACTTCCAACATGTGGGTCCAGGGAACTGAACTCAGGTGATCAGGCGTGGTGGCAAGTTGATTGGTGGCTTTAACTCCTCTGAGCCATCAGTCAGGCCCAGCTTTCTCCACTCTTAAACAGTCCAGGATCCCTACCTGAGAAAGAGTGCCACCTATTGTGGTCTTCCACCTCAGTTAACATAATCATGCCCACTCTCCACAGAAATGTCTGGAGGCTGCTATCTCCCAGGTGATTCTAAACTTGGCCAAGTTGCCAATGAACACTTTCTGTCATATGTTGTATCTGTTCCTTCTCATTCCTCTGGAGAGGTCCCCTTCGTGTCCCTTTCCTCTAAACTTTTGTCACAAGCCCTCAGTCCTTCCAGTCAATTCTTCTAGAAGTTTCTATGCACTGACAAGGTCATTTTCCATCCTCTGTTTAATGTGTTTATTCACTCAACTTATTTTGGAATCATGGCAGTCTTCCAGGAATGCAAGATCCTCCTCTCTTTGAACTCAACATGTTAGAGCACTTGTCTCACAAGCCTGATGACCTGAACTTGATCCTCGGAACCCATGATGGTAGGAGAGAACCAATTCCTGAAGTTATCCCCTGACTTCCACACATGTACTGTGATGCATGTGCGCCTCCTCCTCCCCCATTTTAACAGTTTTTTAAAATTAGGGTTGAGGGGCTGGAGAAATGGCTCAGCAGTTAAGAACACTGGTTGTTCTTGCAGAAGACCTGGGTTCGAATCCCAGCATCCACATAGCAGCTAACAACTGTCTGTAACTCCAGTCCCAGGGGATCTGACAGCCTCTTCTGACCTCTGCAGGCATTGCACGACCCGGGTGCACTCACCTACATGCAGGCGGTTGAGCTGGGTGTGGTGGCACACGCCTGTAGTCCCAGCACTTGGGAGGCAGAGGCAGAGGCAGGGGGGGCTCTGTGAGGTGCAAAGACCCCCGGGCTATATAACGCATTTCCCGGCCAATGGGGCGCCCGGGGGAGACCGCCTTCAAAAAAAAAAAAAAAAAAAAAAAAATTAGGGTTGAAATTCAACAAAAATAGATTTAAAAACTTGGCCAAATGTTAACAACAGGTGATAGAGATCTGGCAGTTCATTATAATGTTCTTTTACTTGTTCTGACTGAAAAATTTCATACTAGAGGGAAAATACACTGCTGTTCGCTATTTTGGCAAAGACGAGAATATACGGATTGTCACAACAAGTACCCAGGTTCTGAGGTACTGGTGCCTGCAGAGTCACCCACATGCTTCCTGGCTCAGAGACCACAGCAGACAACCCACTGGCTCTTTTTGTTATTGTTGTTTTCTTGAGGTAGCCTTTGCTGGCCTGGAACTCACAGAGTTCTGCTTGCCTCTGCCTCCAGAGTGCTGGGATTAAAGGTGTGTGCCACCACAACCAGCTCTGGTTTGATTTTTTTTAACAGAGGATCCCCCGATGCCCTCACTTTAGACTTTTGTAATGGAAAGAATGCTGTAAGAACATGCAGATAGTAGAGCCTTAAAAGGTTAAGTATGACACTTTCCTTGCTATATCTTGCGAGGATTTTATCTTTTTTCCTATGTTGTCAAATGTATGGACATGAGTTGTTCTTAGCAATGCCTCTCATCTTTAAAATATCTGTGGGATCTGTGGCGAGGTCCCTTTTCCGAGTCCTATAATGTATGGCTTGGGTACTAGTCCCTGTTTGACACACACAAGGAAGCAGAAGCCAAAAGGGAGAAATGACTGAAGTCAAGACTGCAGAGCCAGCTGGGCTACCCTTCCTCTCACTGCCTTGTCTCCCTGTCTGGAGGGTTGCCCTTTTTGATCTTCCCTTTCCCCAGGCTATGACTCTCACATGGTCCATGTATCCTTACATATACTCTAACATGGAAGACTCTCATTGCCCTTCATCTTTGAGGTGACTCCCAACTTCTCAGAATATTCTCTTGTCCTTTATCTTCTGTTCCCACCACACAAAGAAGATGCAGGGGGGTTAGAGAATACAGTAAGGGGTGGCCTGCCTTGACCCCAGATGTACCTAGTTTTCCTAATTCACCTTCTGTCACTTTCCCAAGCCCATATGCAGGTGGTAATAAAGTGAAAAGCAGAGACTTTCTGCTTTGATCTCAAAGGGCTAGAACTTGGTGACGCTTTCTTCTTTACTCTGAAAGTCTCAATACTTAACACACTTGCTGTTTGGGTCTCAAATCATCAGCATGCAGAGCTGTCATCAAGGAAAGAGTCATCTCCTACCCTGTGTCCTCAAATACTAAATGGAAAAATGCTCAGTCTTCTGATTGAAAGCTCATCATTGGGACAGAGAGAAGGCTTAGCAGGTAAGAGCACTTGCTGCCAAGACTGACAATCTGAGTTCAATCCCTGGGACCTGAAATGGCAGGACTGACTCCATTTTATTCTAGCTGTCTTTTGCTTTACCCTGTGTTTCTGCCTGACCACTCCATCCCCCACCCCACTCATGTTTGCTAATTGCAATCAGCCAGCCAGAACTGGTCCCATGAAGACTGCACCTGTAGTTTTAGGGGTTACATTGTTTCTACAATACTGGGAGTCTCACAGGTAACCAAGTAGCATGCCCTCCCACCCAGCTATACCTGGAGCCCATTGTTTCTGCAATTCTGAGAAACTTGTTTTTCCTAATGGAAACCTTTTGTTAACTGGAAACCTCTCTGTTAATTGACCTGCCCTTGGTCTGGTGTAACTATGTGATTTGATATGACTATTGTTACTGCCTTTGCCCCTGGCTTGATGTAATTGTGGTTTTAAGCTTTATAATCCCTGTTCTGCTTCTCCTCTGGGTTGAGAGTTCTTTTGGGCATTAGTCCCCTCTCTGATCACCAACTAATAGCTCTCCTAATTCATCCATCACTATGTGGCATTTTGTGCCTCAAATTCCCTATTACAGAACCCACATGGTGGAAAGAGAGAGCTGACTCCTATGGGTTGTCCTCTGACCGCCACATGTGCTGTGTACATCCTCAAATAAAAGATGTAATAAAAAATTTAAAAATTCATCTTTTCCTACAATTATCAATACTTCTTATATTAACACAAATATCTTTTAGTTTTTGTGTAAAGTACTTCCCTCTCTCTAGTTTTTAGGGTAAGTTATAGGAGGAAAGGAACAGTACAATAATGGGCTCTTTAGCTTTCTGGCCTTTACAGGGTGAGTGAGCACCTCTGTCTTTTGGGAAGTTTTCCCACTCTTGGGAGAAAGAATCTGATTTCCCTGGACACCTTCCTGGAGAAACAGCATTTGGGTAAAAGGGACACATCAAAGTGCTTGTTGCAAATGAGAACCTCCTCTTTATTCCACAGATAGTAACTGGTTTCTAGAGCTGAGTAGGGAAAAAGCTTTGAGCTTACTGTATCTCTGTGTAAGTCCTAGAGATGGTCTAGTATCTAGGACCAGGCCTTTCCCTAGTTGAGAATAAAAATGCCTGCCCTCCAGCCAGTCCCAAGGTTAGGGAGAAGGAACTATAAGGCGGGGCAATTTCTTGGTGAGGTGAATATCGGCTTGGGGCAGGCTCTTCCAGGCAAGTTCTAGGATCCCATACTGGACAATGCCTTTGGTATGGATGGTCTGTACATTATTCTGTTCAGGAAGGGGTATCACATCATGGAACTCCAGAGGGATTTTGGGGGTATGAGAGCGACCACAAACTAGGCAGTAGAACAGCCGCTCTCCAGGCACTAGCTCCATGGCCTTCAGGACATCTTTGGAGACGACCTCCTGAGATAGAGTCTTTTCTGTCAGTAACAGGTCCTGTAGCAGCCTCTGGACTCGGGGGGACTTAAGCTGGTACAGGTCCATGAGCTGGTGGAACTGTTCCATCCAAGCAGTGGTGTCTTTGGCATACTTCTGCTGCAGCATCCGCAAAACATGGTAGAGTGCCACAAATGTGTCCCATGGTGGTACCTCTTCCCTTTTTTTCGAGATGGGCTTTGTCTTCTTTAACTTGGGCAGTTTGGGATATTTGCCTTTACTTTTCAAATCCAAGAAGTCCCTTTGAAACATCAGTGCCAGGGTTTGTTGATTCACAGAAGGATGGACACCTGTCAAAACATCTCTCATAGCAAGCTGAAGATGTTGTGTCTCCATTTCCTGAAGAACACCAGATAAATGCTGCATCCGTGCACTCCGGTATGGCTCTCCTAGAAGATGCCAATGAATAGCCTTTGGATCTGAAACCCTCTTGGTAACTAATGGCAGCTCTGGAGGTTTTAGCCAACTCTCCTTTTCCTTTCCTTTTATGGGAGGAATCACTTTCAGGTGTTTGGAACTCATGGGTTCCCTACTGGGTTTTGAAATCACTGTGCCTCGTGATTCCACAACCTGTTTGTGACGGCGCACGATGGCTTCAAGTATGGCCAGGTGTAGCCACTCCAGTTCTCCCGTTGAGGTAAGGTCTTTGAGGAGCTGACACAATCTGTGGAAACTATCTCTGGGAATGTCTTGTCCTGCATCCATCTGTTCTAAGACATGGTATATCCAACCTATATCTGAGAGATGTACCTTTGGATATTGTCCCTCTGTCAAGATGTCAGGAAGAGGCATTGTTTGTCCTGTCAGAGAAGGATAGTGCTGCAAAAACGAACTCCACTTTTCATGTGGTGTTCTCTGTTGGAGTCTATGAGCCTCCATGGCTTTTCTGATCATTTGAGTCATGAATGGTGTCCTCGTGTAAGGCTCTTTACACTCTGAGATTGTATCCAAACTGGGTAGATGTTCGGATTTATATTTCTCCAACAGTTCCCTCTCTTTATCTGTCAACTTGGTCTTTAGGAATATCTTGGATGTCCTGAGGATTGTGGCCTTTTCTTCCCTGAATGGTTGTTTTATTTCCAATGGCAAGAGTCTCCTCCTTTCCATCTCTGGAGCTGCTATGGACAGTTTTCTGAGTGGGGTTTTCAGCCCTCCCAACTTCATAGCATTCCCCTTCACCTCAGGGATTCCTTCTTGGATGGAAGGGACGATCTCCCTTGTTTGCAGGACCTTTGTTGCCTCTGATAACTTTTGCATTTTCTCTCTTTTCCAGACCTCTTTTTTCCAGGCCACTTCTTCCCATGAGCGTCTGTCTTCTTGGGTCTCTTTGTCTGACTCTTCTGTCTCACTCAGACTTTCTGTCTCTTCCTCAACTGTGCTTTCTTTAGACTCTGATAATTCTTCCTCCTCCTCGATCTTCTCCCCTTCTTCCTCCTCCTCCCCCTCCTCGATCTCCTCTTCCTCCTCCACCACCTCCTCCTCCTCCTCCTCCTCCCCCTCCCCCTCCTCCTCTTCCTCTTTCTTTCTTTCTCCTTCCCTTCCTCCTTCCTTCCTTCCCTCCCTCTCTCCTTTCTTTCTTAGATCGAAGCCAAGGCCTTGTTCATACTAGGCAAGTACTCTACCTTTGAGCTGCATCCTAGTCAGATTTTAAAAGTTAGTAAATCCCCCCTCCTCCTCCTCCTCCGCCTCCGCCTCTCTGATTTCTGATTGTTCACTGTTAAGTTGACTTTCTTCCTTAACCATTTTTTCCTCTTGGGCTGTCAGTTTTCTCATTTCCTCGGCCAGATGTCTCTGCTTCTTGGCCAGTTTCCTCTCATCTTGGATGACTTCTGATTGTTCTTCAGAGCCATCGAACTCTTTGATGTCAAGTCTGTCCTCCTCCCTACTCAGTCGGCTCTCCTTAACCATGAGTGTCCGCTTTATCTTTGTTAACTTGGTTTCTTCCTGGATGAGTTTCTTTTCGTTGCTGAGTAGTTTCTGAAGTGCCTTTAAGGATTTTTTCATTCGGGGTAGCTTGGAAACACCCAGGTTCTTGTCTGCCTTGGCTAACCTCCTTTCTCCTTGGGCGTATATTCTCTCTGCCATGGTAACTTCCAGTTTTCCTTTGGCAGCGTCCTTTTCCTCCGTGGCCAGCAGTCTGTCCTGATATGCTAGAATCTTCTCCTCCAGGGACACTCTTTTCTTCATTAGCTCTATCTCATGCTCAGTCCCTTTCCTAGGGAGGAGTTCTGACTGCTCGGCTGGCTTTGCCTTCTCCTGGGCTAACGTCCCCATTTCTGTGTTCGCTGCTACTTCTTCCTTAGCAATCTCTATCTCCTCTCTGAACAGTTTGCTTTTCTGTATCAATGTCTTCCTCTCATTGGCTAATTTCATTTTTTCCTGGGCCAATTTCTTCTGCTTTTCAGTCAGGATTATTTCTGCCTGAGCCAGTTTCTCCTCCATATCAGTCATCTTAACTTTCTTCTCTACCAACGTGTCATGTTCGTGCCTCAGCTTCTGATCCATGTGACCTAGCTTCTCTGTGTATGTCTCTAACTTCTTCCTCACTTCCTCAAGTTGTTCTTTTCCTTTGAGGTGTTTTTCTAGGAGAGACTTGAAAGTTTCTTCCCGTTCAGCCAAGTCCTCCTTCTCCTGAGACAGAATGCTCCTCTCTTGGACCAGATTCTTGACTTCCTTGGCCAGCTGGCTTTTCTTCTCTAGCAGTTCTCTTTTGGTCAGGACCAGATTTTCCCTTTCCTCTACCAGTTTCTCTACCTTCACCATCAGCTTCTCTCTTCTCTCCTCCAGTCTCTGCACTTCCTCGGGTGTTGACTCGTTCTGGGCAAGTTCCTCCTCTTCCTGGATCAGCAGCTCTTTCTCCTGGGCCAGGAGTCTCTCTTCCAAAGCCAGGTTTTTCTCTCGCACTCTCAGCATCTTCTCTTCCTTAGCCAGTGTCTCCTTTTCCTCACTCAGTTTTTCTTCTTCTTCATTCAGCTGATCCTCCTTCCAAACTACTTCCCGCATGTCCCGTTCCGGGCCTTTCCATTCCTCCTCCAGTTCCTTTTCTTGCCAGTCCAGATGCTGTTCCTTTTGGGTCACGGCTTCCATTTTCTGGGCCAATAGGATTTTTACCACAGCTACTGTCTCGATTTTCTTTGCTAGTTTCTCTTCTTCTTGAGCGATTTTCTCCATTTTCCTAGCCAGTTTCTTTTTTTTCTGGGCCAATTGTTCTGTTTCTTGACTTAGTGCTTCCTCTGCTTTGGCCAGATTCTCCTCTTTCTCAGCAAAGGCCTTCTCTATATGGGTCATTTTTCCAACAGAGGTCTTTCTCATGTATTCATAGGCCAGTTTTCTCTCCTCCTGGGCTAGCCTTTTCTCTTCCCGGGCAAGTTTCTCTTCTTCCTCTGCTAGAATCCTCTGCTCTCTGGCTCGCTGTCTTTCAGCCTGGGCTTGTCTCCTCCATTTCCTGGCCTGTATGTGTTCCTCACGGATCTGTCTCTGCTCCTCTGTGAACATCTCTTCTTCCTCGCCCCACTCCTGAGACCCTTCCTCCTCCTCCCCCTCCAACAGTCTTTCTCCCAGAGCCAGTTCTTTCTCATCTTTGGTCTTGAACATAATGTTTGCCCACATCTCTTTCCCCTCATCCCATTTCAGCTTCTTCTTCCCCCCCTCTTCCTCACGTGGCAATGGCTTCCCCTCAGCCCTGCATCTCTCCTCTTCCTCAGAATGCTTCCTGTCCCATGCTTCCTTCCACTCTTGCCAAGACAACTTAATCTCAAGCACGGCTGGCTCTGTCACTTCCTCCTCTTCCTCTACCATGGCCTTGGCTTTGGCCTCTACTTCCTGAGGCCCAACCAACTCTTCTTTGATGACTTTCTTCTCCTTTTTAGCGGCTTTCATTTTTTCCTGGGCCATTTTTTTTTGCCTAGGCAACTTCTTACCTTTCCTCTCTTTCTTCTTTGGCTTTCGTTTTCCCTTGGGTAGGTCACCTGATTCTGAGAAAACAACTTCCTTCTTCTTGCCTTTTCTTGGAGTCACTCCCTCCACCTCCTGTTTCTCCTGTTCTGTTTCTTCTTCCTTCTCCATGTCTTCCATCTCTTCCTCATCTGCGATCACCATATCCTCTTTAATAGCTCCTTCTATGGTGAAAATTGGTTTTTCTTCTTGCCAAGCTACCTCCCACTCAGTTTCCTCCGCCAGGGCTTCAGCTTCGTCCCCCAAGAGGGGGCATATCTCCTGAAATAGGTCCCAGCCGGGGTGCTGATCTGTCAGCACCTCCTGAGCTGTAGCCAGTAGCTCAGCGTTTAGATCTTGTGACATCTCTGTTTGGGAACCAGATATCCTCAGGTTCAAGAGTTGACACAGAGCATCCCGCCATGCCCTTTCCGAGGTGAGAATCCTGCCGGGCATTCCACTAGCACCCCGCGCAAAAGCTTTAGCCCGTCTCCTCCTAGGCACTTCCAGTATGGGAGGCAAAAGTTCCTCAGCTGGAACTGGAACTGGAACTGGACCTTCTTTTTTCTTCTTCTTGTGCTTTTTCTTCTCTTTTTTATCTGAGACTTTGGACCTTTTCCTCAATTTCATAGCTACAGAAATATGCTCCTTTAAGATATCTTTATCTGAAAGTTCAAGATCTTTGGGGCTTTTTATTAGGCTACCAACTGAAGACCTGGAGTAGACAGCCATCTCCTCTGCCTCCACTGTTTCAGCTTCACCCAGGTCGCTCGAATTCTCCACCGGAAGAGGACTGGCCTCTAGTTTCCGCTGTCTGGCCGCTTCTTTCACCTTTCTGAGTCTTCGCATCCATTTTTGGGCTGCAGGGAAAAGTCAGGAGATGGACGTGAAGAAAGCAGGGAAGCCCAAATAAAATCCTTCCTAAACCTGCTGTGACCAAAGAGGAACTACTACAAAACAATAACAAAAACCAAAAAAGGGGGCGGGGGGCTGGAGAGATGGCTCAGAGGTTAAGAGCCCTGGCTGCTCTTGCAGAGGTCCCGGGTTCGGTTCCCAGCACTCACATAGCGGCTAACAGCTGTCAGTAACTCCAGTGGCTCTGATGCCTTCTTCGGACCTCCCTGGGCACTGCACAACACAGGTGCACTTACCTACATACAGGGAATACACTCATACACATAAAATAAAATAACAATAGTAAGTAAAATATTTTAAAAGTAAACACCACCACCAAATAGCAACAGAGAAGGTTGGAGCTTATCTTTTTTTTAATTAAAAAAAAATTTTTAATTTATTTTTATTTTATGTGTATGAGTGTTGTCATGCCTGCATGTGTGTAAGTGCACCTGTGTCATACAGTGGCCAAAGAGTACAGAAGAGGACATCAAATCCCCTGAAACTGGAGTTACAGATGGTTGTTAGCCACCACATGGGAGCTGGAAATTGAACCCAGTGCTCTTAACCACTGAGCCATCTCTCCAGCCCCGGAGCTTATCTTTAAAAGAAGAAGAAGAAAAAAAAGCTGGTGTGGTGGCGCAAGCCTGTTGTCCCAGCACTTGGGAGGCAGAAGCAGGCCAATCTCTGTGAGTTCAAGGTCAGCCTGGTCTACATAGTGAGCTCCAGGCCAGCTGGGGCTATAGAGATACCGTGTTTCAAAAAGACAAAAAAAAAAGGAGGAGGAGGAGGAGGAGGAGGAGGGAAAATAGGCCAGGCACAATGGCACACATCTTTATCTCAGCACTCGAAAGACAGAGGCAGGTGGATCTTTGTGAGTTCAAGGTCAGTCTGGTCTTATGTAGACAAGGAGACGCTGTCTCAAAAAGACCGGAAAAAAAAAAAAAAAGGCATTCTCCTTGTTATAGTCCCAAATGGCCTCTCCCTGTCCTAGAGAGACAGGCTTTGAGGTCTTCTGAGTTTGGGTAGAACCCTCCTAAGAGAATTCTCTTCTATGACATGATTTTTCCACCTGGTATCTCAGGACCCTCTTTAGCCTTAACTAACTAGCCTTTCCTTCAGAGACCAGAGGCATGGCCCCAATTACCCCATACGTACCATGCTTTTTGCCAGCTGTTTGGACTCGTCTTTGGCTTTTGCTGACTTTGACTTCAGGTTCTTCAGGAATTACAAGAGGCATCGTGGTCGTACTAGGTCCATGAGACCCTGGGACTTCTAAAAAAAAATCAAGCTTTTTATCTCCTTTAGATAGAGTCAGGTTATCATTTAGTTGCTGCTCCACTTGAGTGAGAAGGATCTGGAGATCTGTGGGCCGCATCCCCAGCAGATGGTCCAGGGACTTCTCCCCAATCATCTCTTGCCTGTGAAAGTCAAAGGAGAGAAAGGACCGTGTTGAATCAGACACAAGAAGGAAAATGAGAAGGAAAGGACTGCGATAGAACCAGCAAAGGCTTTGGTAGAGTGGCAAAGAAAAACAGCATCGGTCCAGAAGAAAAAAATGAAGAAAGAAAAAGTCAAGATAGCAATCAACAAGTGGGGTGCATTGTATGGGGTTGCTGCAGGGTGGGAGGATAGGATGAAAGTCAGAACCTGAAATTACGGGACAGACAGGAATAGGCAAAGACATGGAGAAAGAGGAGCGGAGCATTCGGCATCATTAAAGGTAGTCTAGGAATAGAAAGGGGGCCATGAAAGAGGAAAAAGATCCGTGAGAGGTCATGACCAGGTATGTTGAGGTAGCACAGAAGAACGGAGAGCACGTAGGAAAAGGGGGAAAGATGAGCAGGTGGTAGAGAATTGAGCAAGGCACAAGCAACTTACTGCATTTCCTGGAAGACGTCTCGTTTCTGGATCAAATTTAAGAGGGAAGACTTAGAGTGGATGCCAGTGTCAGTCATTAGGGCCAAAGCTTTAGTTCTCACTCTTGAGTCTTTGTCCATTAACCCCTGGGCCAGAGGCAAGGCAAAGAGATGAGTAATCATTCCTAGATGCTTCAGCCCTTCCCAGGCTAGTTCTCGGATCAGTGGGTTGGAATGGGTTGTATCATCTAGCAGACGGTGCGCTGTCTCTGAGCGCAGGGTTGGCGATACCTGGTAGGAGGCAAAGATTTGCCCTAGTGCACCAATACAGCACTGGAATTTCAGAGGGTTGGCGCGGGTCATAACGTTGAGGATTGTCTCGATCAGGGTATTAATAGCTAGTTCACTCATCCTTTTCCCCAGCCAACTGCGGTTGGCTGCATCTGTAAGAACACTGTAAGTGACATCCTTGGATAGTCTTGATCCTATGAAGCTTTCGTCCTCTTTCTCTGAAACACACCCACCTTCACTCACTGTTCTTACCCTGCCATGCCAGAATAAGAATGGTGGAAACTTGTCCCATTCCAGTGGCCGTTGCGGTGGGTGGAGGCTACACTGAAGGAATATCGGACTGCCCTCTGGCCAAAGGCGGGCACGAATCACTGAGTTGGGGATGTAGCAATCAGGAGCAAGAAGCCATTCCCTCCCATGACCAAAGTAGCATCTCAGTATCTGGAAGGGGTTGAGCCCATCCCAGGTTGTCAACTGCAACTGAGGAGGAATCACATAATGAGTTTGGGGAGGTTTGCTCGTCTCTGTCAATTCAGTTCCCTCCAAAGAATCATGCCAGGGGGTGTTCAGTAACACCGGGGTCCCATCATCATCTTCTTCTATGACGTGTGGCACATTATGGTCAAAGGCAATGGCCCGCCTATTGACGAGGCTTGCCAGACCCTGTAATTCCTGTTTCTGTTGATCATGGAAGCCATACCTGGGCACAAACAAAGCCTCAAAGGAAAAGAAGAAGCTTGGTATGAAAGGTTTTGGGGTTTCTACTATGTCATCTGTTATACTCAGAAGGATAAGGCGGGAGAGCAGGGATGGGGAAAGAAATTCAAAACAGGATACCAGATAAAGACTCTGGTTGAAAGACACGAGCAGGTCACCCCGGTCATTTGCAAAGCAGAGTGGGCCAAAGTACAGCGATGAGTCCAGCATGGCTATGAGTCTACCATGGAAGTCCCAGATCCGGACGGAGCCATCAGAACCACCTGTGACAAAAAGACTCAAGGGCAAGCAGACATCAAAGGAGGTGATGGTGCACTGGTGCAGAGGCAATGTCTCGATGACCTTGGAACCTTGTCGTGCCTCAAAGGACAGAAAATCACGGAACTTCCAGAGACGCAGGCAGTTCGTGTCCGTGATGGCACTGACAGCCCTGGGTAAGAGGACCAGGTGTGTGAGAGGACGGCTGCTGAGAATGCTAGCCAGGGTCCGCAGCTGCAATCTGGCCCCAACAAAAACAGCTTCTGACAGCTGTATGAAGTCATCCATCCCATAGGAGCAAAGCAAAGCGTTTTCTCGGCTATGCAAAACCCCTCCATGGAGGGTTGACAGTGACAATACAGCCCCAAAGTGCATGACTTTCTCGATTCTGGCACAGCTGTGCTGAGAAAGCACTCTTATGATACCACTCTGATGCCCAGAGAATACCAGTCCTTCCACCCCCCGCTCCAGGTGGAAATTCCCATAAGCCAGGCATTGTACAAAGTCCTGAACATCTGGTGAGGTACATAAGAGATACTTGGGTGGGCACGGGCAGCGGGTTGTGTCAAACACCAGCACCTCTGAGGTGCCCGTTGCTACAAAGAGTTCCTCTTTACCTGGATCATAGGCCCAATCTACAGCCCGGTCCAGGATTGAGAAAGGCCAAGTGAGAAGCAAAAGTTCTCCTGTTACAGGGGACACAAAGCGCAACAGGCCGTCCTCAGTAGTACAGAGGATCCGGTGCCAGTTGTCTTTACAGCGGACCCGACGCAACTCTTGGGGAGCAGAGCCACAGATATTGAAGAGACTGTAGAAAGAGGGCAGACGGTGCAAGGAAAAACTATGCGTTGTTTGGCAGAAGAAAGTAGTGTTGTCGATAAACTGGAGGGCATACAGCTCCTCGCCAAGTTCAAGTCGCCGGAGCAGGTTCCCTGAAGTGAGGTTCCACTCCTTGATTAAGCCTTCCTTGCCAGCTGTCAACAGGGTGTGGGCCTCTGACCGGCTCTGGATACATACCACTAACAAGGAATGGGCCCTGAAGCTGTGGAGTGGTGAGCTCTTACTGAGGTTCCACACGTGGACTTCCCCAGCCCTGTTCCCAGCATAGATAAGGCTCTGTTCAATTGAAGTGAAACAGCAGGTGATGGAGGAGCCGCTGCTAGTGGCTGTGAACCTCTGTACCTCTCCCAGATGGCCGAAACCCTGGCGCTCAAGGACCCTCACCACAGTCTCACACAGAGCCAGGAGGCAGCCATTGGGGCCATTCAGCAGGATGTCTTGGACAAGCTCATCACCAGGCATGGGAAACATGTTGGCCATCTGGAGGCCCTTGCCGGTCTGCTCAATGGTCCAGGTGACCACTCCCCCTCGGATTCCAGACAGAAGCATCTTTGTTTCTGGATCATAGCAGAGGCAGCTAATGTTGAAGCGACAAGGCACGATGCCCAGGGATTTGAATGCCTGCAAATGGTCCCCAAAGAGCCGCAGGATCATGTCACCACAGTAGGTCACGATGACATGAAAGGAACCTGCATGAACTATTGCCTGGATGGGTGGCAGCTGATCAGTCATTGTGAAAGTTCTCTTCTCCATCATGTCGTCCGTTTTGCTCTTTGTCCATACTACAGCCTAAGGAGAATAAGGTGGAGATGGCCTAGAAGGGACAGTAGAGGAGGAAAGGGCCACATACTCAGCTTCCCCCCGCCTTCTTCCTCCTCTCTCTTTTGTTTTGTTTGTGTGTGTGTCTTAACAGGATCTCCCTATGTAGCCTTGGCTGGCTTAGAACTCACTGGGCAGACCAAGTTGACCACCCCCTCTCTCTTTTTATTTATTATATTTTTTATTTTATGTGTATGAGTGTATTGCCTGCATGTATATGAGTGCACCACCATGTAGGTACTGGCAATCGAACCCAGGTCCTCTGAAAGAGCAGTCAGTGCTCTTAACCACTGAACCATCTCTCCACCCCCTTTTTTCTTTTTTTCTTTTTTTCTTTTTTTTTTTTTTTAAACAGACAGGGTCTTGCTTATAGCCTAGGCTGGCCTTGAACTCATGATCGTCATGATATGAAAGGCACATCCCAGCCTCAGAGTGCTGAGATGACAGATGTGTGCCATCACACCTGGTTTCCCTGTTTCTTTGCTAAAGAGGTATTGGCATATTAGACTGGTTTTTACTCATTGGTGATAGGAGGTAGAAACGGGGTAGAGGAAGGAAGCCTTGGACCCTTTCCCTAGCCTGAACTTACTGTAGGAGAACCATGAAGTCTACTCAGTGTATAACTGGAAAAAATATGAGAGAGAATCCTGAATCAAGATCATATTCACTCAAGGTGTATATCTTCTTTTGTCAGTCTAGGTTGAGAACTATAAGGATGTGGTCCTGGGGGAAAGGGGCTCATATAGGAAAGAAAAGTGGTCTTACCAGTATTTCTTTGGTGTAGGATGGCACCCAAGAGAGGGAAGCAAAGAAGTGAGCGTCAGTGGTGTAATGACATATAAATGGCATATTCTGAGGATAGCGAGATTCTTTGAACAGTATCTGGGATCGGTCACTCAGCACAATTACTTCACTCTTTGGCGTCTCTAAAGATTTCTAGGGGGAAGTATGACATAAACTGAGACCTGGGTTAAACCTATTCTAAAAAAAAAAAAAAAAAAAGTCAAGATTGAACAATCCCTAAATCATAACACTTCCCCTCCTAACCCCTGTTATGAAACTCACATGTGCACAATGCATGAAACTTTGTAAGCATGTAAGAGATTCCCCAACACATAAAGGAACCAGACCTCTGTAGGTCCTAGATTTTATGGTGTAAACACAGGAAAAAAGAATATTTTTTCCAAGGTGTAATTCAGCATATCCATTTTATAACAGTCTCTGTGTCTAAAAGGTATATGGGTTAGAAAGGACACAACATTTAAGAGACCATCAAAGAAAGTGCATCATCTTAGAGCCACAAGTAATGTAACGGGGTGCCCCAAAAGTCAGTGTAGGTCTGAGTTTTTAAAGATCAAACGGGGCTGGAGAGATGGCACAGCAGTTAAGATCACAGTCTACTCTTGCAGAGGACCTGGGTTTGATTCCCAGCACCCACATGTTGGCTAACAACCATCCACAACTCCAGTTCCAGGAGATCCAATGGCCTCTTCTGACTTCCGTGGGCACTACACAACATGGGTATACTTACATACCTGTAGACAATATACTCATACACATGAAAGATAAAAATAAGAAAATAAAATAAAGATCAAAACAGCACAAATAAGACACCTTATCTGGCCTTTAAATTTGACCAAAGAACACATATACAGTATGTTCTATCTCACAGCAACAGAACATGCATTATGAGCCAGGCACCTAGAGTCCTTTTGCCTGGACCAGGCCATAGCAAAGTGAGGTTGGCAAATGTTTTCTGTGGTCCCTCCCCATTCCCTTCTAGGAAATGCTTCTTCCCATGGAGTGGGTTCCTCTAACAATGCTCCCAAGTGTTTAAAAGTCTTTGCAAAAGGTCTGTGGAATTACTTGGAAATTGATAACCTACTTCCTATTTAGGTGACATCTTAATGGTCTGCCCTGTTTTGTTTTGGTTTGAGAGAGGATCTCCCTGTACCCCTAGCTGACCTAGAACTTGCTATGAAGACTAGACTGGCCTCTATCTCACAGAGATCAGCCTCTGCCTCCCCAGTGCTGGGATTAAAGGCATGCTATCACACCCCGTTCCCACCCTGCTTTCTTCTTCCTTTCATGGAATATCTATGGCTCTTCTGAGGTGCCCATTCCTATAGGATAGATAGGGGTCAACCAATAGTATGTTGCTGTCCTGTCAGCATCTACCTTACCTTGCTTTTTTGAATGACTTCATTTACAAGATTCATAAACTCATTCCACTTGGGAATGAGTCTGGTGGTAGGTATCATCTTGAAAACCATGGCTTGAAAACCTGTGGGAATCCAAAAGAGAGAGAGATGCTTGGGTAGTGTTGGTTTTCTAGGAGCTAGGAATCAGAAGGCAAGAATTGTGGCATTATGGATTTTTTGTTTTTGTTTTTAATGACAGGGCTTCATGTAGCCTAGACTGGCCTTGAACTCCTATGTAGCAGAAAATGACCTTAACTTCTGGTCCTCCTGCCTCCACCCCTCTGAGTGCTGGGATTACAGGCATGTCCCCACCTCCCCACCCCCCCAGCCCAGTTTATGCAGTGCCGGCAATGAAACCTAGGGCCTCATGCATGCTAGACAAACACCCTGCCAAGTGAGCTACATTCCCAGCTCGGTTTGCTTCATCTGTGAAATGAAAACACCAATCTTGACTACTTTGAAGGCTAGCAAAGATCAAAGAGAATTCCCGAGAAAACTCTTGTAAATATACTCTGGGCAGCAAACAGTCATGATAGCGGCTGTAGGCTGCCTTGCCTCTGTTTCCATGCTTGCCCTCCTCTCCTGTCCCCTTGCCCCCATTTCCCTTCTTTCTAGTCCTCTCTCACTCTCTCCTCTCTCCCTCCCCTTCCCTTCTTCCCTTCTGTGTACTTTTCAGTTGCCCTGGAAACAGGACAGCTAAGTTTATAGCCTGGCCAGCAGAGGGCAATGGAGGCCAACCTTCACAGCCAGATGAAGGAAAACGTTGGTTCAGAGAAATGATTCCCAGCGTATGTTCCCAAGATCCTCAGCATCAGCATCACTTTGGGAACTTAGGAGAAATGCACATTGTCAGCTTTTTTGGTCCAGGGCCATAGCATATGTCTGTAATCCTAGCACTCAGGAGGCTGAGACAGGACTGAATTCCAGACCAGTATATACATAGCAAGACTGTCACAAAAGGAAGGAGGAGAGAGGGGAGGAGAGAAGGAAAGGAAGGAAGGGAAAGAGGGAAGGGGCAAATTCTTGGGCCAAACGCCAGTCCTACTGCTGTTACAAACTCTAAGGATAGTATGCAACAATAATCTGGGTTTTAACCAGCTGTCTCATGTACACTATGGTGTGAGACCATTGTTTTAGAGAGCTGACAGAGTCCATAGTCAGCTTGGCTTGGGCCTCCTGAAACAAAGTCAACAGAATCCTCACTCCAGTATGGATAAGCCCAGGCCCTATGTTGGCATAGAGACTTGGGGGCTGAATCTGCGGGGAAGCAGCCAACAAACTTAGGAACATCATGTCCCGTGTGTAGAGAGAGTTGGAATCCTTGAAAAATCCTTCCCGGGGTTAGAGAGATGGCTCAGCGGTTAAGAACACTAGTTGTTCTTGAAGAAGACCTGGGTTCAAATCCCAGCACCCACATGGCATCTAACAACTGTCCGTAACTCCAGTTCCAGGGGATCCAATGGCCTCTTCTGTCCTCCGCGGGCATTGCACAACACAGGTGCACTTACCTACATGCGAGCAATACACACATACACATAAAATAAAAATAATAAAATATATTTTTAAAAAGCCTTCCCACCAATCAGCTGGGGAAGACCACATCAGGAAGATCCACGTCTAAGCTGGGCATGGCAGCACACACCTGTAATTACAAGTACTGTAATTCTAGTGGTTGAGGCAGAACAGAAGAATTGTTGCATTTGAGGCTAACCTGGGCTACAGAGTGAGTTCCAGGTTAGCCAGAGCTATAATGTGAGAGGTTGTGACTAAAAATAAAAATAAATATTTAAGATTAAGAGTCAATCCACAGTTTGAATTCATCTATATCAGAAATAAGGAGTCTCTGCCATACCATACTAAGCAAGCTCTCTGAAATCCCCCCTCCCAAATTCACTCATAGTGGGAATTGGGTACTGGTGTTGGGCCCCAGCCCCTGCCTCTTTCTGCTCTCTTAGCACTACCACTGCCATTTCATACCCTCATTCCCACCCCCCACTATCTTGGAGGAGCCAGTGTGATCTGCTTCTAGTCCTGAACACCAGTGGACAGTACCACATCTAGGATTTACCCCACTGGCTTGTCCTTAAGGCCCCAGAACTACTGAGAGGAGCCATTTGCAGCACATTGGAAGACACTGATGTCTGTTCCCATTGTTACAAATATATCCTCTGGGTCTCATTCCTCTTAACCAGCTCCCAAAAGTGCATGGCTGGGAACCTTTGGGGAATCATTCCCAAGGGCAGCGTGAGAAAGCATCTTCCAACCCCAAACCTCTGGGTTTTCTTTCATCATGTTACCCAGAGGAAACTTCTTCAGTAAGCCCTCCCCCATTTTACTCACTAATCCCAGGACCAGTTTTTAAAAGCAAGTCTGGAGTGAGCTCCAGATGACTTAATATCAATAGTACTAATATCTTTGAAAATATTTTATTATTTTATGTGTATGAGTATATCGCCTGCGTGTATGTAAGTGCACCCATGTCATGCAATGCCAGTAGTGGTCAGAAGATGGTGTCAGATTATCTGGAACTGGAATTATGGTTGGTTGTTAGCTGCCATGTGGGTGCTGGGAACTGAACCCTGGTCTTCTGCAAGAGCAGCCAGTGCTCTTAACCATTGAGTCATCTCTCCGGTTCCCCCTAACACCTTTATAATGGAAAGAAAATTTAGTGGAAGCATTCATTCAGTCTGTGGTCAATTTAGGGGAGAGAGTATTTAGAGCTATGATGGGGTATGTCCTACAGACTGGGAAACAAACTGAGGTCTGTGTCCCATGTACATCTGAGGGAAAGCAGATGTCCTAAGAGCCCTGCCTTATAAGAGAGTTGGATCTAGGGGGCACTGTACTCCACCACACCAAAGATCACTGGACTTTCTCTGGCACGCACTGGCTTCAGGTACCTCTTATAGCAAGCAAATAAGGAAATACAGACTTCTTGCTTTATATATATGTGTGTGTGTGTGTGTGTGTGTTTGAGACAGGGTCTCTCTGTAGCCCCAGCTGTCCTGGAACTCACTGTGTAGACCAGGCTGGCCTTGAACTCACAGAGATCCACCTGCCTCTCTCTCTTAAGTGCTGGGATTAAAGGCATGTGCCACCACACCCGGTGAGTTTATAGTTTATAAGGGAAAGTAAATATCAAGAAATAGTCATTGATTAACAATGAGAAAATAGGAGTGATATATTATACACACTTGTCTGCAACTTTTAATTTTCTCACACTTAAATGACACTAGTGATTCATGGTGTGTGTGTGTGCGTGCACGTGTGTGTGGTGTGTGCTGCTCAGATTGGTCTTGAACTTTGGGTTCAAGTGATCCTTCTGCCACAGCCCCTTAAGTAGCTGGAACTACAGGCTACCATGTACAATTTGAGTGATTCAATTTTAAGAAGGAAAAGTATAGGTCAGGCGTGGCGGTGCACACCTTTAATCCTAGAGGGAGGCAGAGCTCTGTAGGTTTGAGGCCAGCCTGGTCTACATAGCAAGTTCCAGGCCAACTGGAGCTACTGGGATACCCTGTCTCAACCCCCACAGCCCAACACAAAATACTATGAGTATATATAAAAAAAAGAACTGATCACCCAAAAGGGAGATGATGTGTGTGTTCCACTACCTTGCAGGAAGGTGTTCTACTTGGGGACAAGGATGCAGAAAAGTCTTACTGGCACCAGAAAGGCCTAATTAGTTGACTGAAAAACTAGAGAGGCAACTTTGGCTCACTCTGTGCTTTGGTATTACTGATAAGGAGTCCAAGTTGTCTACAAGGCCTGGGAATATCACTCTTACCTTTAGGCAACTTTGTAGGCTGGAATGCATTTAACTTTCTGTATGGCGACAGTTTTCCAGACTGACAAATGCATATTAGCAGCATGGACTTGAATCCACTGAATAAAAGAATTAGCCAGAATCCCTGGGAATAATGATAATATCCAGGGCTTATAAAGTCACAAAATAGTAACCAAGCATTTTTTTTTCAAAGATTTTATATGTATGAGTGTTTTGCCTGTATGTATGTAAGCGCACCATGCGCATTCTGTGCCTGCAGAGACCAGAAGAGGGAGTCAGATCCCCTGGAACTGGAGTTACAGGTGGTTGTTAGCCACCAGGTGGGTGCTGGGAATGGAACTGGGTCTTTTGGAAGAGCAGCCAGTGCTCTTTACCACTGAGTCATCTCTCCAGTCATCAACCAAGCATTCTAATTCTTATGGTGGTACAATGCTTTAGCTATTATTCTCCCCAAATTAACTTTTAAAAAATGGACATGGTAAAAAGCTTTTAAGTACTAAGGGGCACATAAAGAATAGAAAGTCACCATTTCACACTTGGACATCTGTCATGTTTTTTCTTCACATAGGTGACCCTGATTGTGTCTTGTATCTGTCTAAAGGTGTTCTGGGGACTGAAGAGATGGCTCAGTGGTTAAGAGCACTGACTTCTCTCACAGAGGACCCGGGTTCGATTCCCAGCACCCACATGGTGGCTATGAACCGTCCTTAACTCCAGTTCCAGGGGAATCCAAAGCCCTCTTCTGTCCTCTGCGGCATTGCATGATACAGGTGCTTTCACATATGTGCACACAATACACTCATACACATAAAAATAAAAAAAACGTGTTCTGTACATGCACAAGTAAATATGTAGATATTCTTTTTCTTATATACTTGATAGTGTGATATATATAATATACATACTCTCTCGCTATATCCAGAGAGGAGCTTATATTCATATATGTAAAACTCTGCCTCATTTTTCAGCTTCAGGGTGTATGTCACTACATATTTACCCATATTTCTATTAATGGACATTGGTCCTATGTGTGGGTATGTGTGTTTGTGTCTGTGTTTTAGACAGGGTCTCATGTAGCCTAGGCTGGCCTCAAACTTGCTCTGTAGCAAAGAATGACCTTGAATTCCTGATCCTCTGGCCTTCACTTCCCAAGTGCTAAGTGCTACGATCACACACCATGTACCGCTATACCTGGCTGACTAACAGACATTAGGTGGTTTTCAACCTCTTCCAACTACAACCATGACACAAATGACTATCTTTCTTAGTGTCTCATAATTTTATTTAACTTTAAGGAACTTCAATTGTAAAACTGATTTAACACATATATTTACATTCAGTCTAACATGGAAGAACATTTTTAATATATTTGAGCTAATTATCAATATTAACTGTTTTTTTTTTCTTTTTTTCTGGTCTTTTTGCTTCCTGTGGCACCAGCTGGCCTGGAACTTGCCATGTAGACCACCAGGCTGGCCTTGAACTCAGAGATCCACCTGCCTCTGACTCCCAAATGCTGGGATTAGAGGCATGCCAGCTAAAATTTGTTTTATTTATGTGAACTAATGAGTTTAATTAGAGTTACTTACAGGGACATAGGTGAGGGCTTATTTACAAGGGCATGGGCAACTTACCATTGGTTACTCCACTGGAAAAAATGTCTTTGTCCCTGAGCAACCATAAATTGCCTATAGATACTAAGGAAGGGTGGGCCTCATGAATTTTTAATTAACATTTACCCTCCTCCCACAGGGTCTCACTTTGTAGTGCAGGATGACTAGGACTCACGATGGCAATCAGGTTGGCCTCAAATTTGAAGCAACCTTCTTGTCCTCAGCCTCCTGAGTGATGGGGCTATAGACCTAGCTTTATGTAAAGATTAAAAATGTGCTGGGTGTGGTGGTGCATGCGCCTTTAATCACAGCACTGGGGAAGCAGAGGCAAATGGATCTCTGTGAGTTCAAGGCCAGCCTGGTCTATATAGCAAGTTCCAGGCCAGCTGGGGCTACAAGGAGACCCTGTCTCAAAAAGACCCCCTCCCCCCCAAAAAGATTAAAAATGTGTATGTAGGGGCTGGAGAGATGGCTCAGCAGGTAACAGCACTGGCTGCTTTTGCAGAGGACCCGGGCTTGGTTCCCAGCATCACATGGTGGCTAATGACCATCTTTAACTCCAGTTCCAGGGGATCCAATGTTCTCTTTTGACCTCCATGGGCATTGCAGTACATGGATACACTTACATACATGCAGGCAATACACTTATACACAAAATATTTCTTTAAATGTGTATATAGCTATTTCTGTTAGGTAGTACTGCTTAAGATTACACTAATAGGGAGTAGGTGCTTAAGAGGGTTTTTTTTTTCTTCTTTTCCTTTTCCTGGATGAGCCGACAAGTAAATGACCAAGTGACACTGAACATCTTCCTGCAAACCGGATAACCCAGACAGGCATGCATGGGGTTTCTTGCCTAGAGAGCTGTGCAATTCTAGTCCATTGTCTCTGAAACACTATGGAGAGTCACAATACCTTCTTTTTTAGGAAAAGTAAATGGTCAAATCTTTGATTGACTTAATTTGGGCATTTCCCAACAAACACTGGTATGTGTCATCAATAAATGAATGGAAGATACAGGCCTCCCAGGCAGCCCCTAGGACGGTGATGCTACGGCTCTGGTCTCAGTCAGAGGTCTAGAGGCTTGGAGGAGGGAGAGGGAGGATCTCAATGAGCCCGAGGATGCTCCCACGATCCCGCGCGGCGAGGGCGGGAAGGTAGGTGTGTCCGCCTCTTTAAGGCAGGAGCCGCGACGGTTACCTGCGACAAGACTCCCGACCGGGTACGGGTAGGGCGAGTGCGGGCTCGCTGGGGAGCACCCGGGGAGGAGGGGATGGAGGGGCTCCGGTGTAGACGGACAGACCTAGAGGGACCGGTGGGGAAGCTTCGATGGAGAAGATGCAGGAGGACTCCGTTGACAGAACGGTTAGCCCCGCAGCTCCGCACCTGACGGACTGACCCGAGCGACCGCAGTCAGCGCGTATGCACGCTGGCACGCGCACACGTTCGCTAGGCTTAAAAAAAAAAAAATCCTCCCCGTGGGAGTGCCAGAGCGATTTAGGCCGGAGCGCCCCGAGAGCGCGCGCGCCTGCGCGCCGCCGCCGTCCCGCTCCGCCCCGCGCCCAAGGGGGTCTAGCGCACAGCTCGGGTCCTTCGGCCCTGCGGAGGCACGGTGTGGGTTCCTCCAGCGGAGGGAGGAGGCGGATACGGCGAGGAGAAAAGAAGAAACCGGTCAGACAGGGTGGAGAGCCCGGCTCCCTAGCTGGAGCCCGCACAAGACACGCCTCCCTGCCTCACGCCCCTCGGGGCTGCGGAAGTCCTCGGGAGACTGGAGCAGCACCCAGGCGACCATTAGACTACTATTCCCAGAAGGCAGCGCGGTGGGGCGCCTACGACTCCCGGCAGCACCCGCGCGCCAGGCTCTCTCCAGCGCGCTGCTTCTTCGGGTGAAACTACAGTTCCCAGGAGGCCTCGCCCGAAGCGGCTTGGAAGTGGGCAGTCTGGAAGTCACTCGGGCCACTGGAGCTGGCTGGCGGCGTATCCAGCGAGCCTCGAGGGGCCGGACGCCGCGGTCGAGGAGCCCGCGGGGCGTGCAGCCTGGACGCCCAGGTAGGTGGCTCTCGATGCAGACGCAGTCTTCTGCAAGAGTGGTGGGGGATTGGTGGCTGCTCGGACCCTGAGGGTCAACGCAGGCGAGCGACCAAGGCGGCCGGCCGGGTGTGGGCATCGGCTGTGGGGGGCGGCGGCCCTGGGACTCACGCCCTCCGTACCCGGCGGGACTCATGCCCGCATGGCTCAACTTTCCAGACGTGCAACCCGGCACTGTGGGGACGAGCTTGGAGTCTGGGAGCCGTGGGTGCACGTCCCGGCTCAGCCACTCTGCAGCTGCGGTTTGAGCAAACCGCGCCGAACCTCATTTTTGCCTTGGGTTAAACGAGGAAGGAGATCGTCTTTTGCTGGGGGATTCTTTGGCGATGTTGAGATCTGGTGAATAAGGCACTTGCCACATTGAAGATACTTATTACGGGTTTGCATTATTGTTAGCTCCTGGAGAAATGAAGATCCTGTGGATTGCATTAGATGCGGGTTAGTTGACCATGTGCATGTAAAGAACCGAGTCCATAGTTAGCACTCAATGCAGGGTGGCTGCTGTTAACTGATATTATTTTATTAAGAGCTTTTGCTTGTGAAGCAGATTGACTCACGTTCAAATTTAGGCTCTGCCATGCACTGGCTGTGTGACCTTGGGCAACTGACTTCACTTCTCTTCTCTGTGCCTTGGTTTCCCTGTCTGTTCCTCCATAAAATGGAGATTCCAATAGAAGCCACCTCAGAGTTGTTTTGAAGATGCATGAGAACACCATGTGTAAAGTGCTTAGCACAGCAGCTGGCACCTAACACTCAGTAGATCAGTCAGTGCTATCATTTATTCAGCGTTTTCCGGTGGCTTAGAGACCCTTTGAGAGTTAGGGCTCTGGCTGTAGCCTTGGTCTTCCCAGCAGGCCAGGTCCCTCACTGGTCCAGCTGGCTGTCCCTTCTGCAGCCTCAGGTAAAAATGGGACAATAGCAATATCACCGGGGAAGCTGTGAGAATTTGTTGAACACTAGTCTGAGCCATTGCTCAGTGAGTAGCAGCTTATGTATTATGATTGTTCTCCAAAAATTCTCCATCTGGCCCAGAGACTGCCTAACTGTGGGCTGTGACATGACAGCCCTGAACTCCCCCACATGTTTGCTCCCAGCCTCAGTGTCCCATCTGTGAAATGGTAGTCATAGAACTTTTATGCCAAGCTGGTTCTGATAATTCGTGGTTAGCACAGGGCTCAGTGTATACCAAAGCACTTGATGAATCTCTCTCTCTCTCTTTTGGGGCAATAGGCCCTTTCTGATTCTTTTTGTGTCTATAGGGCAGAGTACAAAGTTAGTGTGCCCCCCTTAAAGTTTACTCACCAAAGGTTAGTGGAACATGTTTTAGTATAAGGACTTGAGAAGAGACAGTACTGACCTGCCATCAGTGGCCCCTTGCACACAGCCTCCCTCTCCAAGTCAGTATAGTCACTCTACCCCTGTATTATTTGTTATAATGATTTGGTACTGAGGATGGAATCCAAGGCCTTGTGCATACTAAGCATCTTCTCCATCACTGAGCTACACCCCAGGCCCCAGTGTTCTAGTTATGGTCCCAGTGTGCTCAGCTCTTGACTATGTCTCAAAGCCACATTAGCCCCCTGACCTCCAGCTCCAGATATGATGTCCTCTGGTGAATGTCCTTGGGCACCATAAACTCAGCACATCCAATCTGAATTCTCTCTCTTCCTCCTCCTCCACCCAGTAGTCATCACCTTGGCAAATCAGCCAACACTGAGCCTGTTGCCCAAGCCAGTAACTTGGAAGTCGCTCTTCTTCTCTGGTTGATTGGCAAGGATTAGAGCTGCCATGTTACAGAAACATCATTTCATTTGGCCCAATCTAGAAGTTCCCCTATCCCCTGGAGGTGACCTTTTCTGTTTGTTTGTGTCTTTGCTTATTTATTTATTTTTCAAAATATTTAATTTTATGTTATGTGTATGTGTGTATTGCTTGCATGTAGGTAAGTGCACCTGTGTCATGCAATGCCCGAGGAAGACAGAAGAGGCTGTTGGATCCCCTGGAACTGGAGTTAGGGACAATTGTTAGCTGCCATGTGGGTGCTGGGATTCGAACCCGGGCTGCAAGAACAGTCAGTGTTCTTAATCACTGAACCATCTGTCCAGTCCCTTCTTTGCTTATTTTGAGGCAGGATCTCAAATAGCTCAGGGTGGCCCTGAACTCAGTGTAGTCAATGACTTTGAGTTCCTAATCCTTCTGCCTCCACCTGCCAAGTGTTGAGATTACAGGACCATGCCTGTGGAGGTTGCCTTTCCTGACAAGGTCCATTTGTTTCTTTTCAGCACCAAGGATGAATATAGGTACACATATGTGGCAAGCATGTGCAGTAGTAATAAGGAACTGAGAAGATTTGGCTAGACTGCAGTGGCTGTGGATGTGACAGGAAAGCCTGGCTTTCAGGGGACCCATTTCTATGGTGTTAACCTGTTGAAGATGAGCTGTTGTTCTGTTTTGGGTTTTGTTTTTTTTTTTTTCTGAAAAATGATACTCTGTCAGATTAGCCAGTGTGGGAAGGTGGCCATCCTGGACATTTGGGAGGTAGCACACACACAACACAACCAAGAAAAGGCTGGGAAGGGAGTTTTCTGGATGTCTGTGAGGTCAAATCTGCTGTCAGAAACTTATCTTTGTGATTTCATTTGAGGCTAGAAAACAGTGATCTTAATCAAATTATGATGACCATCAAATTTAGTTGTTTTTCTTTCTTTTTTTTTAGTCTGCAGAAGTAAAACAGTGATTTAAAAAGATCCTGGCTTGTCTCCAGTGTTAGTGACAACAGCACATGGCTTTTTAGCAGTCTGGGTAGAATGGTTTAAGAGTTAAATGAGCCTGGTTTTTCAGACATTGCAGTTGTTAGGTGGTAAATCAAAAATGGAATTTAGAATGTGCAGTGATTGGTGCCTTTTTCAGCTGTAAAAGATGTTTGCCTGTATAGTTCAAGCTTAGGTTTAATTAACTTGCAAAGTCTACATTGAATGTACTGACATCTTGCTTAATAAAAGAATCTCAATAGTCATTTCCTTTAAAATATTTGTTTTTAGCCATTAGACTGAGAAGCCTGCTGGACCAGTACATACATTTGTTTTTTAGGGTTGCTCTAGTCATGGCCTTAGTGTGTGTGTGTGTGTGTGTGTGTGTGTGTGTGTGTGTGTGTGTGTGTGAGAGAGAGAGAGAGAGAGACAGAGAGACAGAGAGAGAGACAGAGAGAGAGACAGACAGAGAGAGAGAGAGGGAGAGGAGATTGGGTTGAATCTGACTTTAAAAAGAAGTTAGTGTAATCCACTTACTGGTCTGTTTCTGAAAAACATAATTAGTGGAAATTTTGATTTGGAAAAAAAAAGTTAACGAAGTTATGAAAAATGGGCATGGTGGTACACACCTGTAATCCCTTAGAAGTAGAGGCAGGGGGGCTAGAGAGATGGCTCAGCGGTTAAGAACATTGGCTGTTCTTGCAGAAGACCTAGGTTCGAATCCCAGCACCCACATGGTAGCTAGCAACTGTCTGGGACTCCAGTTCCAGGGGATTCGACGGCCTCTTCTGTCCTTAGAGGGCATTGCACGACACTGGTGCACTTACCTACATGCAGGCAATACATGCATACACATAAAATTAAAAAAGAAAAAAAGAAGTAGAGGCAGGAAGATCAAGAGTTCAAGAGTTCAAGCCAGCCTGTGCTACATAAGACATTGCCTCAAAAACCAACCGACCAACCTACCAAAGAAGTTATGCAAGAAAGATAATGCTCATTGTAACATGCCAAACAGTGCAGAGATGTAGAAAGAAAACTGCAAGTACTACTTTCTACTCTACAGTCCTGTTCCCCATAGATAAGCATTTATTCAGACTGTGAGTTAAAAGTGTCTAGCCTCAGGTTTTGGAGCTGCTAGAGTGAACAAAATGGAGCTGTCCTTGGCTTTGGTGATTTGCTGTGTGCTTCCACTTGATCTCCATGGGATATCCCTTCAAGTTCTTGCATATAGATCTGACTCATGGAATGGCTGTACCCACATGCTTCAGGATGGAGAGCCCGTGAGCTAGCCCGCACCTCCCCTGTTGCTGGACATTGCCCTTACAGTAGGCGGGCAGTATGGCATAATGGCTGAAAACCCAAAAGTCTGGAGCCCTGTGGCCTGGATTCAAATTCTGACTCTGCCCCATAGTAGTTGGACGCCCTTGGGTAAGACATTTGTCCTTCTGGGTATTTGTGTCCGGATCTGAAAGTCAGAATGATAACAGTACCTTCCCCTATGAGGCAGTTGTAGAGAGAGAATCTGTGTCACACTTTTAGGGCAGTGTCCAGTATTGGTGCTGTACAACCTTTCAAACCCAAATTAAAAAAGCCTTTTGGAATGGGGCTCACAGGAAGAGCCAGCCAGCTCAGTCATTGGAAATGCCAGGTAGAAATAAGAAAAAGTTACAAGGGGCTGGAGAGGTGGCTCAGTGGTTAAGAGCACTGACTGCTCTTGCAAAGGACCTGGGTTCGATTCCCAGCACCCACATGGCGGCTACGAACCGTCCTTAACTCCAGTTCTAGGGGAATCCGAAGCTCTCTTCTGACCTCCGTAGCATTGCACAACACAGGTGCACTCACATACATGCAGGCAATACACTCATACACATAAAATCAAAATAATGAATAAAATATTTTAAAAGAAAGAAAAAGTAGGGGCTGGAGAGGTGGCTCAACGGACTAAGAGCACTTGGTGTTCTTCCAGAGGACCAGGGTTCAACTCCCAGCACCAACAGGTGGCTCGGTCTCGGTCTCTGTCGCCATCTTCTGGCCTTCGCAGCCCCCCCCCCCGCCCCAATAAACATACTGGGCATGAAAACACTTGTACAAATAAAAAAGTTATTTGAAGAAAAAAGAAAGAAAGAAAAAGTTACAAAACAGGAATCAGCTTGGAGATGTTTAGGTCCAGGGCGGGAGACGCCTGGCTGCCTGGAATGAAAAGAGACCTGCAAAGCCAGGCGTGGTGACCCCTGCCTTTAATTCCAGCACTCAGGAGGCAGAGGCGGGTGGATCTCTGTGAGATTGCCAGCCTGGTCTACCTTTCGAGTTCTAGGCCAACTGGGGCTACAGGAAAACCCTGTCTCAAAAAGACAAAAGGAAAAGAAAGAGACCTGCTCAGAAAAGG